TCTTCTGCTTGCTGCTATGAGTGTGGAGACCGAGAGGGTCATTGTTGAGATTGATGTGGTGAGGGATTTTGCTGAGGTGTTCCCTGATGAGGTGCCTGGATTGCCTCCTGTTAGGGAGATGGAGTTTAGCATTGACTTGGTTCCAAGTGCGGGGCCAGTGTTGGTGGATCCCTATGGGATGGCTCCTGCTGAGCTGGTTGAGCTGAAAGGTCAGTTGGAGGACCTGTTAAAGAAGCAGTTCGTGTGACTGAGTGTATCGCAGTGGGGTGCTCCCATGTTGTTGGTGAAGAAGAAAGATGGAGGTAGTCGACTGTGTGTTGATTTTCGACAGTTGAACAAGTTGATCATTAAGAACAAATATTCATTTCCTCGGATAGATGACTTAATGAATTAGCTGAAGGGAGCATCAGTTTTCTCGAAGATTGACTTGAAGTCAGGCTATCACCAGATTAGGGTGAAGGAGGGTGACATACCGAAGACTGCTTTCAGGACTAGGTATGGTCACTATGAATATGTTGTGATGTCGTTTGGCGTGACCAATATCTAATTCTCACAATTTTAAAACAGCAATTATTCTCACTTGATACACATAAACATATCTTGTGAGACATGAGTAAGGAAACATATCTTGTGAGACATGAGTAAGGAAACATATCTTGTGAGAGCTCACTAACAATGCCTTCAATTACGCCATAATTTAATAGAATCCATGACCCTAGACTTAGATCCCCATTCCCCACGCCGGATCAACTGTCCCTTCCAAAGGGTCTTATTCCATTACCAAAAAAACCCTACCTTCCATCAATATTAACATTTCTCTTTCATATTTTTCAGAGTCACTTTGATTGGACATTTCATTTTTTCATTTTTTTTTTCATAAACATGTTCCGCATATCATAAACCTCAACCTCTATCATGATTTTAACATTCTTAAAGTTGACCTTGATAGCATAAATTAAATACAAGAAAGCACCAACACAACCCTAAGTTGAAGTCAAACATAATTAGTATTGCCATATAATGCCTCAAAAAAATCCAACACCACAAAGCTAAAGAATTTATCACACCTTGTTTTCTTAGACGACAATAATGATGACTCTAGTTGAGAACAGAAGCACCAAGAGAAACAAAAGAGCCAACAAATTTAGTATGCAGAGCAGAAATCCAAGTCTCTTACCCCAGCAAAATCTCTTGTGGGATGTGGAAGTTCCCTTGTCAACCTTCAAGTTTTCAAAGTATAAACTAATTCCTGGGTCTCTCATCCTTACCTCACTATCATGCAACACCGAATTCGAGACACCCTGAACGTTGTTGTTTATATAAATGTTGATGCAAGAACAATCTTTTGGCTCACTCTTTGTGCTTCTATGATGCAAGTGCATTGTTGCACCCACGTTTTCTCCATCCAAGTTGATGTATTCAAACGAGTCATGTTTGGATTTTGAGTCCATGACAGAGTCATCACTGGCTAGAGTGGGAGAAAGAGGTACCTCTTACTGCTATTTAGTGTGCACTAGTTTATTCAAAATTTGATTGTTTATGCTATCACAAGGCTTTAATTTTTCAGTTTTATGTAAGATCTGGAGGTTTCCTCTTGCTGAAGGAACCAATGTTCTCCTGGAATAACTTGAAGCACACACTAAGAAATTAAAGATGAATCTTGCCCAAGTTATTCATGTTAGATTGGGCCTGTTTGTATTTGATCCAATTCAAAGAGACATTAATATTTTTAAGTAGTCAACAAAATTTTTTAGGAGAGATTTGTCATCAATAAAATTAGTTGGATATTTATTCCAAGAAAATATGAAAACTTTTCGTATTCATTTTTTTTACAGTAAACTTTTCGTATTCTAAGAAATGGAAATTATAAATATAAATCATTAAATGGTATTTGAAAGATTAAAAGAAAAATATATGTGACATTTTAAAGTGATTATATGATTACTAAATAACTTTTAACCATCTATATATAGTCATATAACAAATTTAAAATTCTCACAATTTTAAAACAGCAATTATTCTCACTTGATACACATAAACATATCTTGTGAGACATGAGTAAGGAAACATATCTTGTGAGACATGAGTAAGGAAACATATCTTGTGAGACATGAGTAAGGAGAATAATTTTAAAGCATTTAAAATGAAGCGTATATTTTTTTAGTGAATGAAATAATTGAGAGGAAATGACACATTAAATATTGAACAAATGATACACATACTACAATCTATACAACATTATATTAAACATTGAACAATTGATACACATTACAATTTATACAATATTATTTTTTGTCTCACTCCATTATTAATAAATGAAATAAATAATTTGATAAAGAGAGAAAAAAATGATACCACCTATAAGAAACAAAAACCTTATTAATCGAGACCAATAAAACTAGTTAGATTAGATAATTATAATACTTGAACGATCAAAAATACAATTAAGCAAGAATATTCTATTTTTAGTTTTGGAACGAGCTGTTCTGAATCCAGAACGGACCATTCTGAGACCAAAACGGCCCGTTCTGGTTTCAGAATGGCCCGTTCTGCTGCACTGGTGGTGTGTTAATTTTTGAGAAATTTTGAAAAGTTAACTCTGTTTAAGAAATTTTGACGGAAGGACCACATTGAAACCAGTTAATTTATTAGGGACTAAATTCAAACCAATTAATTAGTTTGAGACCAAATTGAAACCAAAAATAAAAATGCGACTAAATTGAAACAAAAATTATTATAAGGGACCAAATTAGGTTTTTAGCCAAAGAATTAAATTTGATTAGTTACGTTTAAGTCTCTTGAGATTATACTCTAAACATTATTAACGTGAGATTCATATGTCATAAAAAGTCATGAGTTATAAATTAGCATAAAAATTTCAGTTGATTAAAGTAGCTTTCATTGAATCAATTTATATATATTTTTTCCTTTTTGAGTCACTAGCCTTTTTGAGTGACAATAAAAATGACTGCAAAATTTTTTATCAGCATTTTTACATTAGCTATTGTATACAATGTCAATAAAACATATATCGATGGGCCTAAGGTTCTCTTTACTTGAGCTTTACTAGGATGACCACCTTTCTCATATATTTGGTAGTATAAAAGTTTATATTGTTTGATCTTGTATTATGGGCATTAGTATAAGACTTTTTGGATTTTAAGTTTATTGGGCCTAGTTTTGGACTTCATGGGCCTTTGAGCTTTTGTTTGCTTTTGAGCTTAGTGAGTCCAATGGTTTTGGTGGGCCTAGGATTCTCTTTACTTGGGCTTTACATGGATGACCACCTTTCTCATATATTTGGTAGTATAGGAATTTATATTGTTTGGTCTTGTATTATAGGCCTTAATATAAGACTTTTTTGGTTTTGAGCTTATTGGGCCTAGTTTTGGACTTCATGGGCCTTTGAGCTTTTGTTTGCTTTTGAGCTTAGTGAGTCCAATGGTTTTGGTGGGCCTAGGATTCTCTTTACTTGGGCTTTACATGGATGACCACCTTTCTCATATATTTGGTATTATAGGAGTTTATTTTGTTTGGTCTTGTATTATGGGCCTTAGTATAAGACTTTTTGGGTTTTAAGCTTATTGGGCCTAGTTTTGGGCTTTATGGGCCTTTGAACTTTTGATTACTTTTGAGCTTAGTGAGCCTAATGGGTTTGGTGGGCCTAGGATTCTCTTTACTTGGCTTTACATGGATGACCATCTTTCTCATATATTTGGTAGTATATGAATTTATATTGTTTGGTCTTGTATTATGGGCCTTAATATAAGACTTTTTGGGTTTTAAGTTTATTGGACCTAGTTTTGAACTTCATGGATGACCACCTTTCTCATATTTTTGGTAGTATAGGAGTTTATATTGTTTGGTCTTATATTATAGGCCTTAGTATAAGACTTTTTGGGTTTAGGGTTTAGGGTTTAGATGTAATTTAGTAGAATGAAAAAAAAAATATTATTTTGCTTAAAAAATTCGTATGACAAATTTGTAGTTAGAACGGTCCGTTCCGAAATCAGAACGGCCCGTTTTGTGTTAATTAGTTGTGTTTTATTTTTGAATTTGGAACGGGCTGTTCTGATTTCGGAACGGGTCGTTCTGATTTCAGAACAGGCTGTTCTGATCCTTTTGGTCATGTGTTTGTTTTTCATCTGGAACGGCCCGTTCAGATCCAATATTCATGTGTATATTTTTCATATGAAACGACCCGTTCTGATTTTAGAACGGCCCGTTCCGAAACTGAAAAGCAGCTACCTCCGTACGTCGTAACATGTGTTTGTTTTTGAGTAGTTGAAAAAAAAAATTTATTTCAGTAAAAAATTCGAAATTTTTGATCCTGTGTGTGAATGTGTATAATATACTATCACTAATCTCAACTATTCATTATTTTTTATATTATATCTAAGGTCATCCTAAATCCTAAACATGCAGCACGAATGTACCACTTCCTAAACTTCCCCATCAGAGACTTCACCATCTTAGTATCTGTTTGAATAAAAATTAAAAACATTATATTAAAAATAGAATGCATTTTCTTATAAAGAAGTTATGAAAACGTCTCTAAAGTTATATTTAAACATAATTTTAAATAAAGATGTCAGTTTAAAGATTTGCTAGTAATAATAATAAAATAAAATACATCTCTATAAGGGTAATGAGATGGCAGAGGCAGACACAGAGATTAGGTTGACAGCAGGGTTCGTAAAAGGAAAATTTGTTGGGCATGGCAATAAATACAAAGGCTACAAAATTTTCTACTTGCCAAATAAAAAAATGACTATTAACTGAAATGTTAAACTTGGTGAGAACTCAACCTAGAACTAGAACTGTGACAATACTAATGCTGGACATGAAAAGCACAATGCTTTGAAGCTTTAACTAAACTGGTAAGCAGCAAGGGCGTGATAAACACAGAAAAAGGAATCACAGCGGACATATCTGAAATTTAACTTCTTTACACTTTCAAAAGGCTTATAACAACAACAAAGAGAGAAGCTGTATTCCCTAGGACTTGACATCTGGTTGTGGGGTACTTTGGCATGTTCCAGCATTGCCCTTAGATGAAGCAGGGTTCATATCCAAGTGCATTTTGGTTTGTGTTACATCATCATTATAGACATATAACTTGGCAACAACCACAAAGCAAAGGAAGTTGATAGCACTAAGTGTGGCCAAGAATGCATAGTAGTAATCTAGACGGGAGACATTTAGATTATCCAAAATCCAACCCTTATGACCATGTCTACGTGTGAGATCAGCAACAGTTGAAAGAAGAAAAGTACTAAGAAAACTTCCAATGCTCAAGGTGGTTGTGAAATATGATGTTCCCAAACTTTTCATGGCTTCTGGTGCTTGATCATAGAAGAACTCCAACTTGGCAACATCAACAAAGGTATCAGCAATCCCTGTCAAAGCAAACTGTGGAATGAGGATGAAAATAGTTAGAGGAATTGTGTCATTCTGGTCTAAAAGGTTGTTTTCCCTTGCAACACTGAGTCTCTTCCTCTCAACTAAGCATGCAGTGAGCATTATGATAACATGTAGAGAAAGGCCAATTCCTAGTCTTTGCAGCAATGAGATCCCTCTGGGGTTGTTTGTGTAGCGCCGGATTGTAGGAACAAAAAGGCGATCGTAGATGACAACGCTTATGAGCATGAAGATGTTTACAAATGCTATGAGACATGCCGGAGGGATTTCAAAATGGGGTCCCATGCTCCTGTCTAGTGTGGTGCCTTGTCTGATGAAAAGTGTGCTGGTTTGAGCTATTGTGGTGCTTGGAATGCATGTAGTGATCAAAATAGGAATCATTTTCATCATTTGCTTGGTTTCCTCAACTTGAGTCACAGTACAAAGCATCCATGGTGATGTTTGGCCTGTCTTTACTGCTGCTTTGTCAAGGAAGCTGCAAACATTTGTCTAGGTTATAAGATTGTCGTGATTCTCTACCCAAACACTAAGGGGTACATTTATTCAAATGATTCATACCAAGTGTCTGACATGGCAAAAACAATGAAGTGAAACTTGAAAATAAAACAATGACTTTATAAAAGATATATTTTTTTATTCATATAATATCTTAAAATTGACAATAAAAAATTAATCTACATTGATAGACTGTCTTTGATAAGCATTACAAAATAGTATATTTAATCCTTAACTTAGAAAATTTTCAATTTAGTTTGGGAAATTAATACTTATAGGTTAATTTCATCCTTAGTATTGAAAAAAAAAAAAACAAATAGTTCTGAGCTAGTCAATTTGGTTGGCTGATACAAACCAACTTGAAGACCAAATTGCTCAAGTTAGTTACTAAATTAATTTGCTTTTTTTGTGATGTTAATAACAATTTTGCAGGTGAAAACAAATTTAAAGAGCAATTAGATTACTAGCCTTAAAGAAGAGCTGTGACAAATTCTGCTTCTCCCTATGCTTGCATAATACTCTTCCATGCTGAGTTCATTTAGCTCATTTAGATTATCTGGGATCTTAACCTTCCACTTCCTCATAGCAGCCACTAAGACCTGAACCATCCTGGTTAAAGGGCTTCCTGAGGGCAATCTATGCCTATAAAGTGGAGTTCCAAACAGAAACACCAAAATTGAAAGGGCTAGTCCAATGGTTGGGATCCCATAACCAAGGCCAAAACCAACTCTGTCTTGTATGTATACCAAGAGGGTTTGGGCAGAAATGGTTCCAATTAGAATGTTAAACACCCACCAGTTGTAGAAGGAAAGCTTTTGGGTCCTCTCTTTGGGCTCAAACTCGTCAAATTGGTCTGCTCCCATTGTAGAAATGTTGGGCTTGGTTCCGCCTGTGCCTGCTGCAATGATGTACAAGGCAAAGAAGAAAATTCCCACTTGAAATGATGATGCATGTTGACAATCCTTGTCTGCTATGCCTGAGGCACACGGTGGTGGTCTCAGTGCTGGTAGTGACACTGCTAGAGTCAACAAACACATTCCCTAAGATGAAAAACACATGACCATGTTAAGATGCAAGATATAGTATCATACAATAAAGTATTACATTTATTAATGTCGAAAAAAGATAGACACAAAAATTAACTAAAAAGCACAGACACATCAACAGAAGGTCGTGTCCATGTGTTCGACAAGTTTCAAACACATACTTGTTCGATACCTCTCCACCATATCATGATTAAAAAAATTTTATTTGAAAACCTCTTCGGCACAAATTATCATTTTTTGGTACAACTTAAATTTTTGATACGACTTAATAGACACTAAGAAAGTGATCTAATATCATGTTAAAATGCAGGAAATAATAACATATGATGAATTATTACATTTATTATGACTCCGAGATAAGTTATATAAATAATAAATATTATTGTATTTTATTGTGTATCAGAAATTACCACATATATGTCTCTATATTGATTAATATTGTCACTTTAGATTGATTTTACTTTTGGTTATCATTCAAAAAGTTTTTTATCAATAAAGACATTGTGTGTATATATTAACTCATATTTATTCTCTTTTTTGAACGATGTGAGAATTTGATTGTATCTTAACAATTCTCTCCGCAAACATCTATATAGAATGTTTTATCCATGTGTTTGACAAGTTTCAAGCACAATACTTGTTGGACACTCATTCAATATCGCTCCACCATATCATAATTAAAAAAAATTGTCTGGGAAACCTCTTCAACACAGATTGGTCACTTTTTTTTTTTTGGCACAAATTATACACTTTTTGATATGACTTAGACACAAACTAATAAAGTGAGTCAATACTATACTGAAATGCAAGAAATAATAACATACAATTACATTTATTATGATAGAAAAATAGATAATATAAATAATAAATAACATTGTACAAATTGTTATACATGTATTTGTTGTGCATTAGAAGTTATCACCATATTTTCACATTCGTAAGATATTGTCACTTTGAGCTTAAGTCCTTATGATTTTATTTTTGATTATCATCCAAAAGTTTTTTACCAATGAAAACATTGTGTGTGTATATAAACCCATATCTATTTTCTTGTTAAAATAATATAAGATTTTGATTGCATCTCAACAATCTTCTCCTCAAATAAAAGATTATGATTGTACAAGTACTTAGAACATAATTGAACTTTATATGTCATCATCAGATGTACTCATGAACTAACTTTTACTGTAAATGGGATGAACCATTTTTTTTTTGTTTAAAAGGAGGATTGTTGAGATATAATCAAAGTTGTACATCGTTCAAATAAAAAGATAAATATAAGTTTATATACATAATTTTATTCATTAGTAAAAAATCTTTTAAGTAATGTCCAAAAGTAAAATAACGAGTATTTAAGATTTGTGGAAACAATATGTTAACATTGTGAAGACATGTGTATCCCAATTCCCGGTGCCCAACAGTATCGTTAATCTTTCCGAATTAAGATTTGAATCCAAATTAAGGTGTGGCAATTTGATGGTTCATACCAGAAGGTAAATGGCAGATGCTATAACGAAGGTCCAATATCGGCCAAGATAGGCATCGGCTATATATGCCCCAGCAGCTGGCATCATCCATACTGTACCCACCCAGTTGGTAACGTGGTTTGAAGATTTCACAGTGCCCTCATGGAGCTTCTTTGTTAGATACAACACTAGGTTTGAGGCTATCCCATAGTATGCCATCCTTTCAATCATTTCATACCCTATAAAACGTCCATGTAACATGTTCAAAATTCGTACAGTTCTTTACACACTAAATTGTCAAATATTTACTTTTATTGTAAACATTTATAAGTCTATAAATGAAAAGCAAATAAGTTAGCAAAACTTTTTTTAATTATATTATTGTTACAAAATATTCACCTATTTCTATTTTGTCAATATGTCAAAGAATCTACTTAGTCATTTTAAGTAGTGTTTATCTTATTATATTTTTTTATTCATAAACCTTACTTTCAGACGATAAACCAAGTTCCAAGTTGTTAGAAAAATAACACAAGTTTGTAACAATTACTCTTTGATGAGATTTTTTTTAATCCAAGTACACTTTGAGGTTATTATATATAAAATGACATATAATAATTATTTTTTATGTTAAATAATGAAATCATATTAGTTATAACTAGCAAGAAATAAATTATTCGAAACTTAGAGAGATATTAATTATAACAATTCATTAATTATATTAAGTAGATGATATCCTGCTTACAAATCAATTTTGTATGATTAAGTTATCTAATATGTTTTAAGAACTATGGAAGAGTAAAAGGGTTAAAAGTAAGTGATATTCAAAAAGGCATTAAAGCCACAATGGTTGCATTTACCTACAATGAAGGAACAAGCTTTCCATCTTCCAGTATTTGATCTTAAAATGGGTCTCCCTTTGAGGTCCACCGTGCCATCTTGGGTGTAATCTTCTTCTACCACTGACATGATTCTTGATTCTACTGGAATCATGTCATGTTTTTAGCTTTTCATGAACTATTTATATAGTTAGGACGGGGAATCAGATATTAGAATTTAGGCATCTTCAGCCTAAATTCATACATTAATTGTCCAATTGCTTAGCTAACTAACAAACAATTCTAATTAAAAACGACTCTTTTTGTTTTGTCCTTTTTGTCATTCATTTACGCATTGTCCGTCTCATGGATTTTATATTTACACATGTGCAAATTGTACCTTTATATATATATAATCTTAAATTTTTATATAAAGAATTAATATTAAAAGATTTATATAGAACAACTCATTTCAAAAGATTTCATTTAACTTTACTTCTATTTGGATCACAAAATAAAATTACTTTTAAAATATAATAATAACAATACTTATAAGAAGTAATGAGTTCTGCAAAAAAAATTATTCCCAAAAGAATTAAAAAGTACTTTTTACAAAATCATTTAACGGCCTAAACATTATACGAATTAGTTTTACCAAACAGTCAAACAAACCATCTATTAGTTAACTTTTTTATTTTGGAAGTTAATGTGACTTTGATGCCTAACTAAAGAAACAATTGATATGTTTTGTCCTCTTTCAGTCACAAGTTACTAGGTTGTACTGATATGTCTCACCATCTTACGCAGCTTCATACTCTAGGTTGGCCCTTCGTGTTTATAAAATAATGAGTTAGAGAGACTGAAATATGATAATTGTAATTTGCATAAGTATTTATTCTGTGTAGATACATCCATGTACATGCCGTCAAAGGCTAAAAGCCGGTACAGTTAATGTTGATTACATAAAATAACCTTAAGAATGTGTTAATTAATTATTTCGTAGTGTATAATTAATAGTCCGTAGTTGAATATCAGTAGTAGGTTTCAGCTTGTTTATAACTAACATTGAATGTGAATTTTACTTATACTTAACACTTTACCATTATTTTTATTGTTATAATATAAATATAGAAAACAATTTTTTTTTTTCTTGACTAAGTTAAAATCCATGAAGACAAATAAGTATTAAGAGTCTTATATAATGAATTAGATTGGATTTGATTTGTCTCGATACAATTAAACAACCAATATTTCGAATCTAAACTTGATCGAAAATAAACTATCAATTTAAATTATATAAGGCTATTTTGATATTTAGATAATTATGACTTTAAATATCATGCAAAATTAAATCATATATACTTTTAAAAATTATAAATTAAAGTTATAAAAATAGAAATTAGACTAATAGATGATTTACAATATGTATTTTAAATGATTATGTTATTCCCGCAATATCACCGCATTATATTTTTTTTTGTGTATCTTGAATTTTTTTTTTTGGTGTAACATTATATTAAGAGTTAATCATCTATACACTGTCAGTGTAAAAAAATTTTACTGGCAGTCAATCATATTTTTTAAATTATTTTATTTTATTTTTATTTAATTAAATAAGCAAATAACATGATACTATTATAAAATATGATTGGTTGCCAGTGTAAATTTTTTTTACACTAGCAGTGTATAGATAATTAACTCTTACGTATTAATTTTAGTTTTTTCGTTAATCTATAAAAAATAGGGGCCATTAAATTTAAAAATGCTTTAAATTTTTTCACTATTTTTCATACAAATATTTTAAAAAAATGAAAAAATATTTTCTCAAAATTGTTTGATGAGTTTGGGGTTATACAAACCTAAAAAGTGAAATTAATTCAAAATTTGAATCTGCTAAGTCCAACTTTTTATTAACTAGGGGAATGGGGCATTATAATAAAAAGAATTATTTACAAAGAAATTCTTACTTAATAACAAGTGGGGTGGTGGCGCAGTTGGCTAGCGCGTAGGTCTCATAGCTTTCTGAGAAATCCTGAGGTCGAGAGTTCGAGCCTCTCTCACCCCATCAATTTTTGCTCTTTTAGACTCTTTTTGTGAAATATCAAAAGTCAAAATTTAACCTGTGTGCTTGCTAACTAAAGTGTTTTTTTTGCCTTTTTTTTTTCATGAGATTTAAGTCCACCAATTTATAAATTTGGATTAAATTTATGCCTATACATAAGGTTCTTGTTAAAATCATTTTACTCAAAATTAATTACACTCTTAGTCCTCATATAAGCATTTCATGTGTAATTTTGATTTCTTTAATTTTAATTATTTATAATATTAATTTATTTTTTATATACAAATTTTCAATTGTTTAAATCAAGTCCTCATTTCAGAACTTCATTCGATAATCAATAGAAACATAACATTAATTTAAATAATTAAAATTGGAAAGACCAAATTCACGTATAAATTTGGAGAACGAAAAATATAAGTAAGTGATTGTTGGGTGGTGTGTCTTTGACGCAGTTTCACAAAAAACAAGAAAATTGCAATGTTAAGACATTATTACATTTACAGGCTGTCATCACAACGGTCACTTCCCACTTTTTCTTTTTAATAAAACAAACTTTTTTTAGTTTTTATAGAAACAAAAGAGCGTAAGATTTCTGCGTTTCTTGTGTGGAAGATGCCAATGAAGACCAGACCCATTGCAGTGCCATGAAGAACATACCCGTTTCCTCAAACCACAACAAAGAAACACATCTCTCATAATGGGTTGTTTTCTTCATTGTTTAGGTTCCCCAAAACCCAGGCGCAAGACACACCATCACCATGTAACAATAACACCCTCCACTTTCTCTTCCCCAAGTTTCTCTTTTTTTTCCAAATTCTATCACCCTTTTCTTTCTTTCCTCTAACTGCATGCAAAAGGCCTCATTTTTATTTCTCTAACTTAATTGAATGCTTTCTATGTTGTTGCAGCGAAATGCCAGAGACAGGTTAGAGCAACCTTCCGTTCAGGATTGCTCCAAAACGGTGCTACTTACCACTGAATCGCAAGTCCAGTAAGTAATTCAGTTTCTAACCTTCTGTTTTGGTTTTCAATAAAGCATGTTCGAAGTTTGTGAAAAACTGGTTTGGGTTGATGTAGGGCTAAACCTGAGGGGAAATTAAACGCCAGCCCCAGAAAGAAGGTAACTTTTGATGTCAATGTGAAAACGTATGAGCCTGAACAGGTTTATGATTTCCAACCAGAGAAGAGTGAAGAGGAAAGAACTTTGGTTGAGAAATTAAGCCAATCAAGGTCTTACTCTGAAGAAAGTTCAGTGACTTCAGTGGAGTCTTATCCAACAAACCATAGGTACCACAATTGCTCTTGTACTGGTGAAGATGAAGAAGATGGAGCGATGGAATATTGGGACAGTGATCTCACTGCTGAAGATGAGGATGATGGTGATAGTGACATGGGAGAAGAGTATGAAGAAGTTGGAGAGGACTTTGAAGATGGAATAGTGTACTTAAGGTCGAGAAATGGTGCTAATAATCAAGGGGTTGTTGAGGAGCTGGAAAGTCCAATTCATGTGTATGATAAGGATGTGAAATCAATGGGGTTGAACCGCAATGTTCGAGATAGGAGTGTGTATGTTCATCCTGTGCTGAACCCTGTGGAGAATCTCAGTCAATGGAAAGCAGTTAAGGCTAAAAGAACACCACCATTGGTGTCTCAGAAGGAGAATTTGGTTTTGAATCAAGCTGCATTTGGAGCAGAATCGCCAAAGAAGTTGAACAAGGAAATCGCAGTTGATGCTAGCCTTTCAAATTGGTTGGCTTCATCAGAAACTACACCGGTCAACAAGGGTTTGTATGATGTGGGTACCCCAGATAGGAGCAGCTCACAAGGCTCAAATTCAGTGATGAGTTATGAAGATAGGCCTATTATAGGCAGTGTTGGGAGCTACTGGAATTGCGGGGGCTATGCTGAGGATTCTGGCTCAGCAAATAGAGTAAATTCAAGAAGGGTACATTTGGAGTGAAATTTGAATCAAGTATGGTTGTCATGGTTGAGGGTCAATTTCTGAGACAAGGTTGGAGAGAGAAGAGATGTTTGTCATGTATCCTAGACAAGATTCCAATGATGTGATTTTGGGTGTTGGGGTGCATTTTTTGATTCTTTTGTGAATGTGAAAGTGTGTGTTGTTTGCTTTCATGTTGTAATATGTGGTCGGATCAATACAATTGTCATGTAGCTTTTATCTTTATATTGTCTCCGCATGTTTTTAAAATGCTGATAATTGGTGAAGCTATTGGGGAGAGGGCAACGTTATATTTATTAACAATGACTTACGGTGAATATAACAACAAAGGAGTAAAATCTATTTCCCCTTCAGGTGGCTAATGCGTGTGTTTAATTCTCTAAGATACGAAGGCATTGAAATATAGATTCTTAAAAAAGATTTTATTGTTGCCTTTGACTCTCTTTAATGTAGCCTAAATAGTAACTAAGGCTTAAAAAATCTGTTTAATTAGACAGGGTAGTTCGTGTATTTTAAATTGGTTTATATAGCCTATAAGATTTGCCTATTTAAATTTGATTTTGGAGCAAGATATACAACCTAACATGCTGTTTTAATAATTGCTTCGCTGAATTTCAAACTTAGTTTGACACTTGACCTTTCCTCAGGTGAAAAGTATTTCATGCAAATAGAACGTCACCTAATATTCTCTTTGCTCTATATAGACACCTTGGCATTTTAGTTCAAATTAACAATGAGACCTACCACCCACTTATATGTTTATTAACTCAATCTTATTACCTTAGCATTTTAGTTCAAATTAATGATGAGACCTACCACCCACTTTTATATATTTAATTGACTCAATCTTATTTTGATTTAAAAAAATTAAAATAAATAAATATGAGTAAGTGATGGGTCTGCGTCTTGTGCTAATTAGTTTTGAAATATCAAAATTTAAACAAGTGACACGTGCAACAATTTCTTTGTGATGAGATTTTTAACAGCATCTCCCTCTTCGAGATCTAGACTTTTTCGTCGGCCATTCTTTGTGATATGTGTTGGTGTTGGGATATAAACAAGTTCCACATTAATAAAATAAGACAACAAATAACAACTTATATAACATAAACATACTTCAATGACTGAGAGGCCTTTTGGGTAATGACTAAAAGCAAAACCGTGAGAGCTTAGACCCAAAGCGGACAATATCTCATCATTGTGAAGTATGTTTGTGTAATAATCTTATAAAAATAACTATCATAAAATATCCCCTCAGACAAACACCATAAAATAACCCCAACAGTTGGTAGGACCGAAAACACATATAATAATTGTTTCTATGAGAAAAGAAGATTGAACAATGTGTACATGTGTCTACAAGAGCTATAACATCTACAAAGTACAAACATTGTAAGCTAAAGTGTAGTTGACATCTCAATCTCACAGTCTATTTGTTGGGTAGATGATTGTGCAGTGTGGTCATGTTGAAAGCTAGGGACAGGGAGTGTGAGCAACCCTTGGGACACATGATGCATGGTGGGTCGACACAAAGGATTCTTATCAATACATTTCAGCATCAGGCTTGCTACAAACATTAGGAGTTGAGCTGCAGTACCTTCAGGAGGAGTCAGCCTCTTATCTAGGAAATCTAAAAAGTTTTGATTAAATTCCCCAGACTCTAGACACAAAAGGAGCTCATGAGGGTACCTCCCTACCAGAATTTCTAATGCAACAATCCCAAAACTGTAAACATCACATTTTTCTGTCACCTTCATTGACAATGCAAGCTCTGCAAAACATTACACATACAAGTGGCAATAGTATTAATAGCAATAAGAGTTTGGATGATGTTTTCTTAAGGCCATGTTGCAGGCCTTAAATTGCTGGTAAATCATTAGCAAATGGAAGTTAAAGAGAATAATCTATGCATTGATAGTGTAAATTGATTTAACACTGATATTCGATCACAAATTGACATGTATGGTAAGTTAACTTTTAAGATAACTACTTTAAAAGTTATACCAATCATGATTTTTGATCATCGATGTAAAAAAAATTGTATGATGACACATAAAAATTAAACTCTAGAAGTTTTGTTCTAAGGTTTTGGACAAACCTGGTGCCATGTAGCCACATGAACCAGCTGGTGCTGTCCAATTTGATTCTCCAGTTTTAAGCAACCTCGCTGTACCAAAGTCAGATATCTTAGGCTCATATTCCGAGTCCAACAGAATATTGTTTCCTGAAATGTCACGGTGAACAATTATGGGTATGCAGTCATGATGCAGGTAAGACAATGCATTTGCCAACCCTTTTATCATGTTTAACCTTATGTCCCAGGTCAAGGTCTTTGCCTCCTGATCCTTCTGCAACACCTTTGCCAAAGAGCCTCTTTCTACGTACTCATATATGAAAAACATGGATCCATGCAAGTAACTAAAGCCACACAGTTTTACAATATTTCGATGACGAATGTTAGTCATTGCAAGAATTTCAGACCTGAAATTCTTTGTTTGGTATGCAGGTAAGTCCATTTCTTCATGTTGGTGAAGACGTTTCACCGCAAAAGTCTCACCTGTTGGAAGCATTGCCTTGTAGACACTGCCCTGTCCTCCTATCCCTATGCAATACTCATCACTGAAATTCTCAGCTGCAGCACATATATCCTTGAACTCTATTGTATTCTTGTAGTTCCATATAAAGAATAAGTCCTTTGTGTTTGAACTCTTGTCCTTTTCATCTTGATCAACTCTATGATGATGCCGAAAAACGAAGACTCGAAGGGAAACCAATAGAATGATTAAGGCAGCAAGTGGAATGACTACAACAATTATTAGCTTATGTTTATCATCTTTATTGGTTTTTCCTCCACCACATGGGTTCAGATTTGCATTGCCATCAGGACCAGCACATAGACCTGCATTGCCAACCAGTGCTTCTGCTGGAGCATTATGAAAAGCTTCTTGGTCTGGGAGGAGACCTTCAAGTTTGTTGTAGGATATATCAATTGACTGAAGGCTGATTAGTCCTTTGAGACCAGAAGGTATTGTCCCAGAAAACTGATTATGAGAAAGATTCAGAACCTCCAGTGATATCAAATTTTCCAGCTGTGTGATTATCTGACCGGTTAGTGAGTTATGACTGAGATCTAACAGTGGCTGCAAGTTCACCAAATTCCCAAGCTCATGTGGCATGTGTCCATCTAAGTTGTTCATACTTAGTTTCAAGAATATAAGTTTCTGGCAGTTTCCTAGTTCTTTTGGAATTGGACCACTCAGATTGTTTGCTGATAAATCCAGATGCTGCAGTTGTGACAGTTCTCCTATCTCTGTTGGTATCTGACCCCAGAGATCATTTTTTCTCAAATTTAGCTTGAGTAGTTTAGAAGATGAACTAAAAAGCTTCTCTGGGATACTTCCTGTGAGATTGTTTTCGGACAGGTCAAGATTTTGCATCCTTAGCAATTTTCCAAGCTTTGGAGGAATGTTTCCCTGTAGCTTATTGGAAGCTATGCTGAAACTTGAGAGAGTTTTGCACTCTCCCCAGTTACTTGATAACAAACCATAGAGATGGTTGTGTGCTAAATCAATGAAGTCCAGGTGTGGATATATACCAAATGCATCAGTAATGTCTCCACTGAGAAGATTGTTTCCAAGCACCACTCTGATTAGTCCGGTGCAGTTTCTCAGACTTTCTGGGATTGGACCTGTTAGATTATTCATACTGGCTGCCAAGTAGATAAGATTTCCGCCACTGCATATTCCTGGCGGGAGCTTTCCGGAGAAGCTATTGTTGGCAAAACTAACATTGCTTAAAAAGGCAGGTCCAAAATCTTCAGGAATAGTTCCTGAGAAATTGTTGGCATGAAGATAAAGTAGATTGATATTTTTCAAACGGATTATTGATGAAGGCAAAGGTCCTGCAAGCTTGTTTCCACTCAAGTCCAGTGCCTGTAAGCTTTCCAAATCACATATTTCAGGAGGAAAGGCTCCACTTAGTTGGTTTGAGGCCAGATTTAAGTTTATGAGATTGTGTAACTTTCCAATGGTCGGTGGGATTGAACCCTTATAAGAGTTGTAGGACAGATCAAGATATTGTAAGCTCGATAAGTTTCCAATTTCTGAAGGTATCTGGCCAGAAAACTGGTTGGAAAAAAGGAGCAAGATAGTTATATTGTGAAGTGAACCAATCTCAGGTGGAAGTCTTCCTGATAGTTCATTCAACTGGAGTTGCAAAGAAATGAGTTCTGGCCAACTGGAAAGAAGAGATGGATGAAGTTCTCCAGATAAATGGTTAAAAGATATTGCCAACTCTCTAATCCTTGTTAATGAAGCCATGGAATTAGGCAAGGAACCTGTGAAGCTATTTCCTGACATATCAAGATAAGTAAGGTTGGTGCAGAAGCCTATCTCAGCTGGGATACTGGAATTTAGTCCTGACTTGTGAAGATCCAATCTCCGAAGCTTTCGGAGATTACCAATTGATGATGGTATTGGACCTTGGAAGACATTTTGATTCAATTCAAGCACCTCAAGGTTTGACAAGAGACCAATCTCCTTTGGTATAGTACCATTAAGCTTGTTTTGTCCAAGCTTAAGGTGCTTGATGTTTGAAAGGTTCTTAATTTCTGCTGGAATTAGCCCTTCTAAGTTGTTTGCTTTCATGTCTAGGATTTTCAAATTCCTGAGACTTGCTAGTAAGTGTACTGGAATCTGCCCAGTGATGTTGTTGAGTGATAAATCAAGAGACACAAGCTTAGGACATTTAGACACAAATGGGGGAACCTCTGTGAGATAGTTAAAATTGAGATTGAGTTCAGTTAAGGATGCCATGCCCTTAAACTGAACTGGGTCAGGATTCTCCAAATAATTAGCCCCTAGATCAAGGAACCATAGATTCTGCAAATTGCTCAGTTGAACTGGTATTTGATTTAAGAGGGAATTATTATCGAGACTAAGAACTTGAAGCTGTTGGAGGTTTCCTATTTCTGAGGGGATTGGAAAGGTGAAATTGTTGCTACTCAAATCAAGTATTTTCAGCTTTGTTGCATTTCCAATTCCAGATGGTATCTCTCCAACCAGGTTATTCAAACTTACATTGAAGTTGGTGAGGTTAGAAAAGGCTGAGAAGTCAAACCTGTTAAGTGTTCCATCTAAGCCTGCATTGGGAAGCTTTATCTCAACAACACTTCCTTCTTTGTTACAAGTAATGCCAGTCCATTTGCATGGATTATTGCTCTTGTTCCATGAAGGTGACAAGGGAGAGTTCAAACTGTATATCCAGGTTCTAAGAGACTCTGCTTCTTTCTGTGCAGAAATCTCTCCAAGTATACAACACAAAACCAGAGAGAAAATTGTCAGCTGAAAAGTTTTCTTCATGCTGGTAAATTGGCTAGTTCAACAAAGAGAAGACTTGTTCATATCAAAATTTATGAGCAAATCTTATGTCACATCTTATGTCACATGAGGTTATTTTAAGTGAGTTGTGGATATTATGTTTTGGTTTAGAGCTGAACATTTCCACTGGCGTTGAACCAGGAACAAGTAAAGAAATTACAAACAATTAATTTATGAATTGTTTTGAGAGAATTTTGAGTGATGGATATGAATCATATGACCTTGTATATATTATATGTATGGTTCAATTCCTATTTGTTTAGGTAACAACCTAAGATGCAGATGGTTAGCTGTTGCAGGTAACATTTTAAAAGTTTTATATTGTTATTATGTGTTTGCGTATTGCTAAGCAAATACACTGTGTATTCAATACACCATTTTCTGGGTACGAAATGGTTTAGACTAGAGAACTTTGCGCGAGAAAGGGAAGTTGACATTGCATTGTAATTGTATAATTTTAAGTTCAACACTCTTTAGACGGCGTAAAACTAGAGTAATTGTGTTTGGCGAAGCAGACTAACAATTTTATTAACTAATATAATCATCATACTTAATTTATAGTTGACTAACAAATGATGTGATTGGCCTAGTGGCCCTCTAACTCCAAGTTTGTGTAAGTGCTTGTAAGAATTGTTGAATTTTGCCTCAGACAGCTTAAACTTTATTTTCTAATTACATGTTATCCTTTGTTTAGTAATTTTTTTTTTGTAAAGATAGAAAATATTACAAAGATGTACGTAATAAGAATTGAGCCTAGGTTGTCATGTTTTTAATTATCCCGATCTTTTCCTTACCAATTACTAGGCTAACCCTAGTGGTTTCTTTGTTTAGTAATCTGAGAAAGGAAGAGAGAATAAAATAAGTTTGATTGTTTGATGGATAAAATATGAGAAATAAAAAAGTGTGGCTACTACAGTGTTTTTTTTTTTTTTTTTTTTTTACTTTCAATCGCACAGAAATAGTTTAAAAAAAACAGCGCATGCAGCGTTGCAATTTGTGACGGTCACCTTCTGGTGACTTTAAAACTCACCAGTTGTATTTTATATATACATATAAATCGATTTAAAAATTATCCGACTAAAAACTTGTTGCAGCATAAATAAATAACACAAAATTAATTTTTATCATAAAAAATTCATATTTATCCGGCTAAACTCTTAGAAATACTACTAACATTAACTATATGAGATAGATAAACATTTATTACATATTATCATTCTAGTATAATCTCTATTAATTTGAATATCAAAGTGTATTTTATGAATATCAACTTATTATTTAAGGTATCTCATAGTCATAGTGCTAGAGAGCTCAATCAATATTAGGAGATGGATATGGAAGCAAGTTTTGGTTAACTTTAATTAGAGTTTAGTTAAAGTTAACAGACTATCTTGAACATATTATTGATGCGGTAAATCCAACTCCCACCCATCATGAACAGTTGAACACCAATGTCAAACAATGCAAGCTAAGGTCACATTTGATTGATCACTTGAAGGTGAATTCAACTCACAAAATCCTTATCTACACTACTCCATCTTGCCCTCTATCACCACAAATATAAATTAATACAATTTCAGGAAATATATTGAAGGTGGTACCTTGACTATAAAAGATCGAACAACAGGGAAGTCACCCCAATAATATCTTCTCCAATTGATAATTATAAAGACATCACCTTAAGCATGATGACCAAATAGTTATAAGACCGTTAATAATGAATAATGATATGGGACAAGTATTTGCAAATCAAGGAGGCTTGACTAATATTTTATATCAACACGATTTTAGTTAGATGGGCATCAAATGTGGGAAGACATTATGTGAAGTAGCTTTTCAATAATTGAAGAAGGTACTAGTTATGGCTTCTTGTTCGTCTCCTTCTCATTCCGAGTCATTGTTTTTCAATGATATTGTTCTATTTAGCTAGTTCAATTAAACTTTAATTACATGCTTTGTGTGTCATTTTCATTTTTCTATGCTTAATTAATGCTTTTGGCAAGGTAGAAACCATGTAATTGTAGCTAACTTTAGGTTAATTTGAGAGAGAGATTTTGAGTTATTGAATTGAAGAATTTAGACATATCATTTGCATAGGCTCTAGGAAGGGGAGTTATGTAGGTTATGTATGTGAGCTCTTAGAGATTCTTAAGCGTAATGCATTAGTGCCTAGTGAATACACCTAAAGAATTAAGGGTTTTTTTTTTAATTTAAAAAAAAAAAAACAGGACATGTTGCCAAGGAATTCCTAGAGAAAGTTAAAGAAATTCCTATCAATTATTGGTGGTTAACCAAATTGCATACATATTATATTTATGTTTAATAACTAATTTTTCTCTTTAAATACTCGAATTGGACTTGAGAGAAGGATCAGAAATATTATATACTATATATCATTCTACTCACTCTTTGGGATTCTGGTTTTGGTGGATGCTTGTTTGTATTTTTGTACCACCTTTCCTTTTTCTTTTAATATAATATATTTTTTTTCTTTATTTTCTTTGATGTTAGTGGCTTTTTATATGATTTTCTTTGATCAATCTTCATGTTAATTATTTAATCATGTAACTTTTATTCTATGAGATTCGAGTCTTATTATAATGGTTAGGAAATATATAAAAATCATAATTTGTTGAATATATTTAAGTTAAAGTTGCTAATTTGAATATAAAGAATTCACCTATTAAAAACAACACATCATTCAATGAACCAATATTAAGTATGAGGTGATACTCTATTTTATTAATTCAAATTAATGAATAATTATAAAAATATTTTATCTACATTGATTTGAATTAATAAAACGAAGTAACAAATAGTTTTCAAAATTTTTAAAAATTTACAAACTTGATTTATTCATTAAGAATTTTTAATTTAACGATTGAATTGTGAGACCCCTTCCCTTTTCTTTTCCTTCCCCAAACTTCAGAACCATCACTCTCAATTCTCTCTTTTCTTTTGCTGGCTTTTGGTCTCAAATTCTCTGGACTCTCTAGGTGTGTAGGTGCTGACCAAGTTTAGAGGAGCTAGCTGATCCGTGTGGAACTCTTCCTTTCTCAAGCTCTCTCTTCTTCACTTCTCCTTCCTGTTGTTCTTCTTCCCGGAAGCTCGGAATCTTTGCCCAAGGTAAGGGAAGCTAGTTTTCTTGTTGCGTTTTGGCTGAAAATGGGTCTAAGAACTCATTTGGTTGTTTATGATTGTTGATTCTTTACTGATCGGGTGAAAATTTGAGTTTTTGGGGTCTTTGGGGTTTTGAGAAAATTCTTGGTTTTTCTTTGATTTGTGGATGCATGTGTAAAAAGATGTTATTTTTGAACTCTTGGATGAAAATGTGGTATCTTGGCTAGATTGCATGTGCTGGAAAGTGGATTCTTGCAGGTTTTGGGTAAACTTTCGAACTTGGTGAAGTTGCTGCTGAGCTTCGCGCTGAGCGCCGTTCTTCGCGCCGGGCGCGTGGCCACCAGGGGACTCCATTTAGGCAAGCCCGCCGGGCGTGCTTGAGAATGAGGGTCTCTAGTTGGTCCGTGCTGGGCATGACTTGGACCGCGCTGGACGCGATACCAGTTGTAACCTGTTTTGGGCTTTTTGATTCTGCGTTGAGCGCGACCCTTGTCGTGCTGGGCGTGAGACTCCTTGGGAGTCTCTGCCTTGAGGGCGCTGGGCACAATTTGAATTGCGCTGGGCGCGAGACCTTGGGGAGGTCTCTGCCTTCCCCGCGCTGGGCGCGGGTTTAGGCACGCCGGGCGCGTGAGACTCCTTGGAGTCTCTGCCTGGCATGCATTGGGTGCAATTGGTATTGCGCCGGGCGCATGTGAGCCTTGGGCTCTCTGGCTGAGTCCCGCCGGGCGCGGGAATGCTGGCACCGGGCGCGAAGATTTGATTTCACTAAATGCTATTAGAAGTTGTTATATGCTGAGTATAAGCTGAAATTGATGAATATAATGTGATGACTAACTAAAAATGATGTTTGATGATGTTGAGTTGTATTAGATGTATATTGCTGTAAGATGTTTAGATGTGCTGTAAGATGATATGTTGTGCTGTAAAGCTGTGTTGTGCTGTATGTTGATATAAATTGTTGTAGGCCGTAAGGCTGAGTTGTTGTAGGCCGTAAGGCTGAGTTGTGGTAGGCCGTAAGGCTGAGTTGTTGTAGGCCGTAAGGCTGAGCTGTAGTAGGAGATCTCCGAGATGATATGCGTGACGACGCATTGTGTGCTTATTATTGATTATGCTGTACAACTGATGAGATGTATGCTGACGAAGTGCTGATAGTTGTAGTTGTTCATATTACTTAAATTTTGTTATATGTTATTCTCTTTATACTAGTTTACCCTTTGTTGTTTCCATGTAGTTTTGGACTGCGATGATCATACTATGTATGGGAGCAGAGCAGGGATAGGTTGGTGGCTAGTGGTGAGTCTGCAACTGGCAGGCAGAGCTGATCCTTGATGATGTTTTGTTGTTTCAGCTACTTGGTGTAGTAGCTTTGGATGTATTTTTGTACATTTTGAATCTAGTCACACTTGAACCATGTATATATGTATATTCTAGACACTATATGTATACACTTGTTCCTTTCTATCCGGTTTTCAGGTGTATTGTGTAGTGTGTAGTGACCAAGCGGGTTGTTACATGAATTGTTAAAATTTAATATAAAACATGAGTTATGTAATAGAGTAAATCTAAATAGACTTACTTTTAGAGTTATATATGTGTATATATATATATATATA